GGATTGTTTTTTTTTTTTTTTTTTTTTGGTGATCAACCTACAGGTAAACATCTCAATGCTCAATGGTCACTATAGTTTCAACCCTATTTTCTAGTTTTTATTCAATTTACAAAATAAAAAAATAATTTGAATGGTAACCATACTTTAAAAGGTAATTTCTAATATTTGTTGGACTTTCAAAGTTATTTTCTAAGAGATACTTTTATGCTTTAATTTTGTTTACCACTAACTATTACGAATTATTGAAATCATTTTGTTTTAAATCATTTTTAAAAAATAAAAAAACATTTTTATTGAAACATTGCAAGAATGCATTGTTGAGTACGGATGTTTTAATTTTTTAATTTTAATATTTTAAATCATCCTTAAAAAATATAGAAATAACATTACAAAAATAAATAAATGAAGGCAATATAGCTAGAATGAATATTGTAAACTAGTCTGTTAGCTCATACCAAACATATTAATCAATGGAAATAATAAGCTTATATGGAAAGTTATCGATCACTCTCCTTAAAACATTAAAATCCGCTACTGGCCACCATATAGTGTAGTCTATAGCCCCTGTTTTGCGAGAAAAGAAATCAATTATTTAACAAACTTTAATAAAAGTTAATGAATTGTGTATAGTTGAAAATTTGTGGATTCTATATCCCCTATTTTGGGAGAAAAGAAATCAAAATTTTAACAAATTTTGATAAAAGTTGATGAATTGTGTATAGTTAAAAATTTGTGGATCCCATGATATATGTAATTAAAATTCGTTGTTGATTTTGAATTAAATTAAAATATAGATTTTAATCCGTGCCAAAGAAGACATAATTGATTTTTTTTATTTTTTTGTTAAGTTCTTTTTAAATATTCTATTTTTCTTAAAAAATATGGAATTTGGGACCCAATAAGAGAGGGTAATTAAGCTTTATCGCGCCTAAATAATTACCGTTAACAACTTCAAAACTAGAATTGGAACATTATGCACTATTAACGTTAAGAATTTCGAAATTATCGTACAATTAAATCAAAATTATAACCCCAATCTCTCCTCCCCTGTTCTCGAACCCTATATAACCCTCTATTGAACTCGTTCTTTCATCAAACAAAAGATCAATCAGAGCCATGACAATGTCTAACGGCATAACGGAGAAGAAAACGAAGGGTAGGCGGAAGATCGAAATTCAAAAGATCGACAAGAAAACCAGTTTACAAGTTTCTTTCTCCAAGAGGCGGAAGGGTCTTTTCAAGAAGGCTGCGGAAACGCGCCTATTGTGCGGCACAGATGTAGCAATCGTCATTCAATCTCCAGGTAACAAGTTTTTCACTTTTGGCGAACCCTCTGTGGAATCCATTTTGAATCGATGGCAGTTTGTTGATGATGCCCACAATCCGGTGGTTGAAGAGATGGGTAAAAGTGAGAGGGAATTTTGGTGGGTCAATGAAAACTTGGAAAGAATGGAATTGCGTGAACTCGGATCGTTTGAGGAGATACTGACCAGGCTAAGAGATGACGTTTCGAATCGTGCTTCCCACAATCCGGTGGTTGAAGAGACGGGTAAAACTGAGAGGGAATTTTGGTAGGTCAATGAAAACTTGGAAAGAATGGAATTGCGTGAACTCGGAGCGTTTGAGGAGATACTGACCGGGCTAAGAGATGAAGTTTCGAATCGTGCTTCCCACAATCCGGTGGTTGAAGAGATGGGTAAAACTGAGAGGGAATTTTGTGGGTCAATGAAAACTTGGAAAGAATGGAATTGCGCGAACTCGGAGTGTTTGAGGAGATAGTGACCGGGCTAAGAGACGAGTTCTGAATCTTGCTGCAGTTTCTTCCTAAATTCAACTCTCCCGCCGGGATTTGAATGATGCGGTTATGAATTTAGAGTTCTAGACATGACACGATATCATAGTACTTGCAGAATTAGATATTAACTTTGAATGTTGATTGATGTAAAAATTAATTGTTCAGTATTTTTTGATAGATCAGTTTTGATGATTCAGCGCTAATTCTTTGTTTTTCTCCCCGTTCTCCATGAGCAAGAAAAGAATTTGAAAAACATGATCATCCTGATGTAAAATCTAATGGAGTGAATACTACTATCTCCCAAGAAGACAGACCTTCATCATGATGATTAAGTTTCTTTAGGTTCTTTTCTTGCACATGGATCTTATTATACTCGTACCAACGATTCAAATGCTTTCAGTCTTGTACAATGTTCTTGGTGTTGTTCCTAAAATATTGGGAAACATTGCTCTATGTGGTATTCATGTCGAAGGTACCCATTCATATGAGAATGGCTTGCTTGAATGCTGTAAAATTCATTCATGATGTCTCCATTCATCAAAATGTAAAGATTTGGCTTGCTTCACATGATCCCGAGAATTAGTTGTGAAAGCCACATAGAGTATGTATGGCCCATGGGACATGACTTTGAAACAAATTATTTTGGTGTTCTGAAAGAAAATTCCCATGATAACTATAATGTAGGAGATGTTGCTTGGCTAAGTAAACAATGGATTGATATTGTGATCGATGTACCCAAGAATTGCATGCTGTAATAGCATTCCTGATATCACAGGAAATTTTTCTCATTTTTTATGTCATCAGCAAGGGAACCAATAAATGCATGATTGGGTGAACACTACACAATCTGAGAGCTATCAAGTATGCAAGTTTCTAGCTCTCAAGCAATCTATTTAAATTCATCTTTTAATCCTGAAAAAAAAAAGGGAAAGCAAGCCAACATACACTAAAGAAGTTCACAAAGAAAGGATCATCACGAGCATCTGTCACATTGGTGGTAGTTAAAGATGATGGCTCTAGAGGACCATCCATTACAGTCACTGTTGGAACTGCTTCTAGTCCTTCAAACTCACTGCATCTAATTTATTGTGCTAATTTTGTAAGTCGAAATTCTACCCGCACATTTATTCGCTATTTATTTTTGTAAATTACCGCAAGACATTCTTGAAGATTTTCAACATTCTTCACCATCTGATCATGTTCTACAATTTCCTTCATCACATCCTGACCCTCCATCACATCACCATCTTGCTGGCTCACATTCTCTTCACAATCAAATTCCTCAATTCCATTCATGTCGTCTTCATCTCCTGCATGCTCGAAAACTTCGTAGTCTACAATGACGAAGTTCAATGCAAGACGCCCATTTGCCCTATGAGCTTCAAAATATTCTTGGCTTCTCAGTCTTTGTTCCTTGATTACTAGTCTTCCATCGCCAGTGTAATATTTTTTTCATCGCCTGTGGCAAAATCGGTGGACGGTACTCCCTTTTTTCCTTCTTCATCACCCTCCGCTGTGTTCATCCGCCTCCATTATCCGCTGCTGGCATGAGATCATTAAAATCCATCACAAACTCAACACAACTCTCCGCCCCAATATAATCACCCAAATCAGATTTATGTCCACATCAGTGCATAACTTTAATGCATCTGAAATCAGATTATTTCTTCTTTGTGATTTTTCAAAGATTATTCCAATTATGACTCACTTTTGAAAATCTATATGTAACTTGTACGAATAACATAATTTATAATCCCGTTGATGCATAACATTAATACATCTTACAATGAATCTCTCTTTGGCTAAATTTGGGGTCATTTAGACGTTGCTCGACTAATTTGTCTTTTGTGTAGGCATGATACAACTTTAACTTCATATATCTATTTGTAACATGATAATATAACTTATGTTTCCATCGATTCATATTTTTGTTTATAACTATTAGTCACATCGATTATTTTTGTTTATAAATGGATGAGAGACAAATCAAATGATATAACTGAAAATTTTAGAAGTATATTGACCAGCTTGGAACAAAACTAAGGTAAGAGGTCAACATGAAACTATATACAAAATTTAGTAACGAAATCTAATTTTTGCCTTTGCATCTGTATAGCACATTAGTACCCACGACATTTTTTTGGTACACTGGAAGACAAAAATGTAAAAGAGTCCTAATTATAAGTCCTTGCAAACGGAACCTTTGTAACATTTACTAATAGAAGGATTACCAGACTAGATTTTTATCCTTCATATCTCCTTTGTTTATGATGTGATTGAAGCAATTGCCTTTTGTTCAATATCTTAATGTTGAGCCGAAAATTCTCAAGTAGATCTTTGGTGGGACTCTGCATTATCTCCCCATCTCTTAACCAAATATATTGCCTCTGTTGAATTGATTTCAATCTCTGCATTTCTCCAGCACTTCTCACTATGGGAGATAAGTCTTGAAGTTAGCCCATAATAAAGCTGTAAGGTTCAAAGAAGTATAATATTCCCTGTAATACAAGTGAAGCATTTTCCTCGGTCATCCATTGTTAGCCCTCGAATTCTCAATTCATATTGAACCAAATTTCCTTTGGAGTATCCATCCGGGTTAAGGTTCATTTTAGCTGTAGGAGGAAAAATTTAGTTGATTATTTTTATTCATTTAAGAAGTGAAGCCATAGAGTCCATCGAGAAACCATCTAAATCTCTTCAGCCAAATACCATATATATGTATGCCTATATGATTGAGAGGCTTGAAGGGATTGCCTTTAGAAACATTCTGAAATTCTAATTTCCAAACTATGCACAGACAGCAAAGTGTATTTCGTACATATAACAGCTTGTATTTGTTTGAGGACAACAACAGGCGAGTTATGTTTCATGTAATTTTTACAAAATTTTAGTTTTCCTGCTCGTGTATACTTTTGTACTATGTTTTATCTCCTTCATTTTAGGTTAGACATTCATTGTAAATTCTACCCATATATTGCACTGTTCTTCATGGAAATAAAATTCACAAATCATTCACCAAATTAAAAATATAGTTTTTGGTATCAGAGGATTGTTGCTTACTTGCTCAAAGCAACCTTAATTTCCTGATCTCTGAATCTCTGATATCCTCCTTTCGAGTGCTTAACCGCCAGCTGCAGCTCCATTTTATTTTTTCCTTCTATCACTTACACTTTGACCAGACAATAATATTAACTGAAAAAAAAACCGTACCTTGATTTAAAATTTTGTTTCCCTATTTATTATAGTCAATCGGGCATAAAGCGGGGGCGGAAGAGTGTCTGTTTGAGGATTAATGGATTTGGAATTCTGAGTGTTTTGCCGTTGGAAAGAAGATTGTATCCTCTTACATTATTCAATGAGGTTATATATTGGTGTTTGCTAGCCAAATGTGATGATATAGGCCGCTCATGTCGAGCACACAAATCGAAGTCAGCAATTTCCGTCTGCACCATACGGTGGCAGAGGTGATGGCTAAATCTGAATTCTGAGGTAGATAAAAATGAGCGCTATAAGGCGACATTGTTATTTGCAGACAGTCTCCTTGCTCAGATACTTTCGGAACCAGGTAAAAAGTTGGGCAGGGTGCTGGGAGTCGATGAATAGATATTCTTCATCAGGTGTTTTCAGCTTTCGAAAAGAAGAAATGTAAAAGACCCTTATTTGACTTTGATGAATAAATTTTATGGATTTAGTGCATACACTATTTGAAGATTTCATTTTTTTTTATTAAAAAAAAAACAACTGATAAAATTGGAGCAATCGGTATAGATTCGACCGTTCGATTTTACAAGTTTTAATGTCCCCATGCATTAGTTGTGCGATTCTAATTTTACATGTGCATCAAGCATGCAATTAAGAAAGAAATAATTATTTCTAATTTTTGCCTTCAATTATTTAGTCAAGTGCAAATAAAATAGGTTGGAATTCTTGAATTTCATTTCCCTTTCTTTTGGTTTTACATTTTCTCTTTTCATTTTACTTTTTTCTATTTTAACATCAAAATTGTTGTCCCACGTGTGAATAACTTGTGTCACTTGAAATTGAAAACTTATGGCAACTTCAACACAGGGACGGATCCAGGATTGGATTCAAGATCGGGCTACAAAATTTCAAACCGAGCCACTATGCGAAAATAAAAAAAAATTTTACACATAAAAAAAAACCTATTTTTTTACCCAAAAAAATAAAAAATACCTTTAAAAAAAAGTTCTTGGGCCTAAGTGTGGGGGGGCTACAGCCCAACCCAACCCAACCCAACCCCCCTAAATCCGTCTCTGCTTCAACATAACATTATGCCACATATTGGGTTATTTTTATTTATTTATTTATTTTTATAACTTAAGTGGGTAGTAGATTATAGGGATGTTAAAATCGAAAATTTTAAAGGTACACTGACTAACTTGGAACAAAATTATGATAAGAGATCAACACGAACTTTGTACAAATTCAGTGGCCAATTGTTATTTTACCATTGCATCCATACAGAACATTAGCACGCACTTCATGAAAGACACAACAAAATAAAAAGATATAATTACAAGTCCTAGCAAAGGCAACCTTTGTAAAATTTACTCAATGAAGAATTAACACAGTCGGGTAGATTTTTCAAAATGAATTGATCTTTGTACATCATATCTCATATGTTAGTGAGGTGATTTGAGCAATTGCTTTGTTGTTTTAATGTGTGAAATATCTTTATGTTGAGCCGTGGAAGTAATGACTGAAAATTCTCATGTACACC